CGCGCCCGCCAGGGGCCCCGCGCGCGCCCGCCGCCCCGCGCACGCGCCGCCCCCGCCCCTTCAGCGAGGGTCGCTAGGGAGCACCCACGGGCGGCCTGCCCCTCGCCTCCTGACCGAGTCCCCGCGGACACCCTCTCTCTCGCCCGCCCGCCCTTGGGGTGGCCACGAGGGACTTCCTCTGCTCTCCTCCTCCACACCCGCCGCCCCGACTTCCCGCCCCAACGTCAGGCACTCGCTCGTCCGCCCTCTCCTCTGGGCCGGATGCCCCTCCCCCCCCAGGGGGCACCAGGAAGGTCTCTGTGCCTTGGACAAAGACGCTCTCAAACTGAACGGAGTCATTCAGCATCCTCCGCGAGATCTGGGGTGGCCCCAGAAATGCACGTGTCACACCTGTCCACGCAGGTGATGCTGAAGCCTCGGCGGTAGTCCGAGCCACCTCTGTCCCCATCCCCAGCGGGCTGCGGCCGCTGCCTCGCTTCTGACCCTGAACAGCCCCCTGTAAGCTCAGCCAAGAGAAACCTAAAAGCTTGAGAAAGTTGTGTCTCGTGCTGAGCGGAACAGAGTGGGGTGAGAGCTCCCCGAGGAGCCCAGCTGATCTTGGGGAGCCTGTTCAAGGTCGCCACTCCCTAGCACTCAGGTAAGAAAGAGGCTTCAGTTTCGGCGTCCAAATGATTGTTTAGCACCAGAGTATCCTGGCGTTGTGCTTTTACCACATTTCCAAAGACAATTAGGGAGGTTTTAAGAAAGTGGAAAAGCTAAAGCCCACACACCAAGGTAGCAGGGAATTTCCAGCTTCCTGGTCCTCAAAGTTGGTGTCTTTTCTCATTGCTCCCCACCCCCCGCCAGGGTTTAGTTGCTTCTTGTTTTTCTACAGGGGTGCACAATCACAACCCATGTGGCACTCATGTTAGAGTGGTGAGAAGGGACCCCAGGAATTCTGAAGAAGTCTGAGCTGGAAATCTCATGAGTTTCACTGATTGGAGGCATTGCAGCCTGAGTCTAGACCTGGCTAGAATGTGAGTGAATGCTCCGTCCATAGCCTAGAGGGTTAACAGGGTCCATGAGAAATGGTTACAGTCAATTTTTAGATAGTTCATGGAATGTCGTAGCAGATGCATGCTTGCATCATCACAGGAATCCCGCAGGCTTTTGTTCTGTGTCCCACCCTGCCACCTGCCTGGTTCTGTTTCCTTGCTAAGCCGGACCTCCCAAATGGCCAATTTTATCAGACTTTTCTCAAGATCCAAGTCACAATATGCGTCAAGTTGTCCAGAAAAGGACAAGAGGGCTGTAAGAAGTAGGAATGTGAGTCAAAAAAGCATGGTCTGCAGCAGAAAGCCAAAACCACAAGCAAGCACCAAATATACAGTATTAATGAGACAGAAATATGTATGAGTATGAGCCAAACATCAAACTCATCTTCCACCCACTTTTTCGCTTCAAACAGGAACAAAGAATGTTTTGTCAAGGGTAATCCCAGGAGGAGGGGTATGTCCCCAAAAAAGGGTTCTGTATTTTTTATTTAATTAATACAAGTTCTTCCAATATATCTGTTTACCATCCACGCTTTCACATGATCAAATCATCAAATAAATACATACTTCTGCCTCTTGTCTTGGACCTCTTTAAATTCATAAAAAAATTTTGCTTTTTTTTTTTTCCAGCAGCACTTACCACAGAAGTAGTTTGGAAAGAGACATGGGAATTCAAATCCCTGCTCTCTGCTAACTAGCTAGGTGATATCAGGCACATTTTTTTAACCTGTTATTGTACTGATAGGTTAAGTGGTGATGAGGCTATTTACCCAGATTGTTGAGAAGAGAGGGGGAAATGTGCACAAAAATGCGCCTTCCCTGACACCCAGTAGATCTACAGCAAAGGTCACTGTGCTTCCTCTATTTATTTTGCTGCACTGTGCCCTTGCATGCTAGAGAAGATACTGAAACTAGTTATACACAACCATTATACTTGAAGCAGAAAGACCCCTTACCAAAAATACCATTTCCCTGAAGGAGGGCATTTCTGGGAACAAAAGTGGCAAAAATGATACACATTTATAAACAGAAGTAATTACTTTCCTAGGAGAAAGGACAGACAGTCCAAAATTTGGCCCTTTCACCAGGTCCCCACGCCATGTAAGTCAGCTGACTTAATTACCCAGGGGTATTTTCTTTCTGCTATTAATAGTGTGTGAATTTCTCTTCCCTGGTGCTCTCCCTTTGCTGACTTGCTTTCTTCACCACCACTCCCCCTTCTTTTTTTTTTTTTGGTACCGGGGATGAATGGGTCCCTGCACTTGCGCAGCAGGGAGCGAAACCACTGAGCTAAATCCCGGCCACCACTCCCCCTTCTTTCACCACTCCCTGGACTCTTAATACTGAACAGCTTTTCATGTTCACTGCAAACAAAAGGCACTAATGACAGTGATGAAGTTGTCATAACTGAACTGCTGGATCCTGTCGCTGAACACTATTGCCAGGCTGTAATCATTACAACGAACAGAAAACAAATAGCAACCCATTTGTGCTTAGCCCATAGTGATCCCTTGTGAATAATTATGTTTTCCACCCTCAGGATTTAAATGACTCTGGGCTCAAGCTGCTCCTGATAATAGATAAAACTCCAGAGTATCCAAAAGGTTCATAATGTTCTCTTACTCTCTTTTGTACGACTTTTCATCATTAGGGGAGATGTTGCTGAGAAGCAGGCATTAAAGTTTGAGCTCTCTAGAGTTTATTCTTACTACAGTTTCCAAGGAAGAAAGCCAATGAGAGAACAGACTGGTCTTATTTGTCTTAGATTCTAGGTTTTACTGGAACTTCCTACTCATAGAATCCCTGGACTATAAAATATGAAGAGAGGGAGAAAGGGAGAGAAGGTTGTCCTGGGAAATTAACACAAATGAAAACAACAACAACTCCAATGGGAAGATTTCTGAGAACAGCAAAACACCCCTGACTTTCACTCATTAAAATCACACTACTTAATCAGTTTCTACTAAGATAAACTAAATTTTGCTCTTCCTTAACTACAGCTTCTTCGAAAGAAAACTGTACATATCATCTCATTCTGTAATGCAGGTACTTTGAGCACACAAACTTGTAACCAAAAAGCCATTTCTGCTCATTGTTACATGCATCATAATATAAGGCTTTTCATCTCAGTTATATCAGCAAAGCTTTGCAAACTTCAGTGGCAGCTATATACACAGCAATGCAGGACTTTAAAAGATCTGCCAAAGTACAATACCATGCTTTAGTTTTAATAGCACTAAAATTATGTTCAGTGTAGAAATACTAGCTTTTAAATATGAGGGTAGAAACACATTTCTATACAGGGACTCTGAAGAAAAGCTATGAAGGACTGGCTAAGGAGTCAAATGGACTAGATGAGAACCCAGCACCAGTAATCCTGAGCTGTGTGACCTCAGACAAGTTATCTGAACTTTCTGTGCCTCAGCTCACTCTCAGTGGTGTTAGTGGGATTGCCGAGAACAAGGTTGTGATACATTAAAAGCACTTATAACAGAGTCTGCTATGTAGACAGGACTCAAGAAATACTGGTCTTGATACCATTGTCATCATTAAAGGATCCATATACCATGTAAGGCATGATGGAAAGAGACCAGTACTGGGATTAAAAAAACAACAGGAAACAGTATTAGCTGTGACCTGCTGGGTCTGTTATTGCTGACTAACTGTTGCAAGTCTGTAAAGCTTTTTGAATCTCACTTTCCACTGCTAATTTATAAAGGGATTGATTGAGTGAGCTGGTCCCCTAGGTCCCTTCAAAATTCTAAACTCTGAGGCTTGATTTAATCCTGCAGCAAATCCTTTTGCAAGGTAAGAACACTCATGCCCTTCAGTAACATCTTAGGGTTTAGGTTTCACTGCACTGGCAATCCGTAGGACACAGATGATGCTCACCATGGCATAATCCACAGGTGCAGTGAGCCAACCATTAGGTTTTAAGAAACAAGCAAGTCTATAATCTGTTCCCTGGCATCTATACTCAGCACACTGACTCTGCTCAATAGGTGTGTGTTGAACAGACGAATGAGGGAGTAAGACAGCAAAGGGCCTAAAGAGCAGAGATTGTCTCTAGGACTTGACTTTCCATAAAGTAATCTAAAGTGAGACAAAGGGCTAGAGGAGTGTGGCTCAGTAGTGAAGGCAGGGCTAGCATATGTGGGGTCCAATTCTCAGCCCTGAAAATAAAAAGTCAAGCGTAAAAGAAAGAAAAAAATGCCCACAAGTGGGCTGGGGATTTAGCTCAGTGGTGCCGCTGCCTGCCCTGCAAGCGCAAAGACCCAGTTTGATCCCCGGTACCAAAAACAAAACAAAACAAAACAAAAAAACCACAAAAACCCCACAAGTGCCCCCTGAAGACTACATCCCTTTAAGGGACAAAACTTCACTGCCAGGCCCCTGGTGCTCCGTGGGGCTGATTGTGTTGAAGGCCTGTGTACAGCTAAGACCCCTGATGTTCTTGGGCTGTGTACAGGTCAATGGGGATGCTTTAGGCCTCAGAATGGAGAGTTACATACTTTGCTGAACAGAAGAACTTAGGGACACTGGAGAGAGTAAGAGAGACACTAGATGGTCTGAGGCCAAACACTTCATGCCTTAGTGGGTCAATGAAGAACCCTGGAGGCAGGATGGCCCAGAGAACATTCCAGAATAGGAAGTCTCTTGTGCCATTTTGTTTGCTGCTGTATCCAGCAGTGCTGTCCTTTTCCAGTAGTCCTCCCAACTCCCTGGCTTGTCCTATTAGTATTTTGGTGCAGCGGAGCAGGGAAGCAGGGCCCACCCTATTGCCAATCAGTTTTGCTCAATGTGGATGAAAATTGTGAATCACCAAAGTACAGCTCTGCTACTGGATTGTGGCCTTTAGTGCCAGTGTCTCAGCCCTGGCTGTTATAGCTCTGGGATTAGAGACCCATTATGTGCACACTACCCTGAATAATGCAGAGTAGAATTACAGACATTCTGGGAACACTGGAGCAAGGGTTATCTGAATACTGTTCCACAGTATCACAGGTAGGGAATATCATCACATAAGTCCGTACCCTCCTAGACCAACTTGAGCAGTGGGCCCTGAAGGCTATTTATATAGAAGGAGCAAGAAGCCTGTGATTGGTCCAAATGTGAGCCTGCTGATTGGTCCACATTGGTCCAAATTCAAGCCTTCTGTGGCAGAGGCAGCTTCTGGTGCCCAGGGCAGTTGCAGCTGTAGCTGTCAATCAAAGCACACCAACTTCTGGCTGTCAGAGGGAAAAGGGAAGACCTGAGTGGATTCTACTGTGGCTCAGGATCATGACTGGGACCAGCACCAGCAGGGCAGGGATAGAGGAACAGATAAAGACCCAGAGAAGCAGAATGCCACCAAAGGAAGAAACTAGAGCCAGCAACAATGACCAGAAACTGCCCACCCACCAATCCTCAGGCACCTAAGGACTGGAAAGGCCATCTTGCTGGCTCTGGATGTGTGTGGGCTCATGGGGTCACAGAAGGCCAGGACCTTTCTGCCTTGTAAGGTCAACTGGGACCCTCACAAAATCAGATGGAGCCTTTTATAAGATTCTTCAGGCTGAGAATCCAGGACCAGTTGTAAAGGGGATTAATAGAGAATAAAAGG